CATACCAATGAGTACTACGAGGATATGCTAAAAGAATAAGTCTCACATCTCTCAAGTCGATGGTCAACAGAAGTCAAAGTCCTTGCCTCTAGGGCAATTTCGTAAATTCACGCTTTTAAAATAAAATAAAAACGTAAAATTTGGAACGGGTTGTTACACTGCACGCTCACCTTGGATCCAAGGCAGGTGCCAGCCTGTCGTACAGACCACATTAGGTGGTTTCGACTCGTAGGTGATTTGCGATACTTCGCATAGCCTTCAAATGATCGTAGCACTTGAGCATATCTATTTACACTCAGCCTATCATACAGACCACATTAGGTGGTTCCGACTCATGTGCAGGTTTAGAGCCGTACAGGTCACATTAGGTGACTCTGGCTGTCATATCATTTTTACATTGATTTATATATCCTGGCTTACATATTTACTGTTGAGATGCTTGACATGGCATATACTTGATTTACACTATTTTGAGCAAGATTTTTATATACGTATGTATTACTATTTTCTAGGAAAATTATACGGGTTTTACAGTGAGGGATTATTATTTTCAGAAAAGAGAAATGTGTTTTCTAAAGCTTTGTTTTTGCCTACTCACCCTTCTGTTTTTCGCACCTCCAGGTTCTAACGGCAAAGTTTTCGTACCAATGAGGATTCTTGGCGAATCTCAGTATAGGTGGCTACCTTTAAGGGTATGTTCCTTACCCACACTACTGTGCTTTACTTATGCTCTGATGTCACGTGCGAAAGGGTTCATTCCAGTTCACAGCACACTCTTGTCTTTAGACACTTTTAGGTTTAAATTTATTCACATTTTCCACATCATTATACTTTATGGCTTTGTCACTTTTTAGGTGTTTGCCAACACATCTCGATTCAGAGTCCTAGTGGACATTTCGGGTCGGGGTGTGTCAGCCGTCGGCCATAACTTATAGCCCAACGGCTAGAATTTTTGGACCATTGGTTGATCCAACGGTCCATATTCAAATTTTGTTTTTTTAAGTGTTATTTTAAAATACATTGAATCCAACGGCTGAAATCGAATATAATCAAATATAATGATAAAAAAAAGATCTAACGGCCCAAATTGAAATTCAACGGCTAAAATAATTAAAAAAAAATATTTAACTCAAAATTCATCCAAAAACTCTATAAATACCTATGTATTTGTTCAAACATCCTCACAAAACTCAATTTCCTCCTATAATTCTTCCAATTTTTCTTTCTACCATTTCTTTCCATTTCCAAATTGTTCAACATGGCAAGAGAGCATATTAGAGGTCGTAATTGGACCTGTGAGGAAGATGTTGCTTTATACTTGGCATGAGTTTCTTTTAATGAAGATGGTGTAGTTGGCACAAATCAAAATAAAAAGGTTTTGTGGGATAAAATCATTGCAAAGTTTCAAGAAAACTACAATGATGGCAGGAGGGACGGTGGTGGTGTTTACGATTGGTGGAAGACTATCAACAAAGCATGCACTTTATGGAAGGGAAGCTTGGAGAGAGCCGTGGTTGGCATGGCTAGTGGAAGAAGCACCATAGAAATTGTGAGTTTTTTTTCTTGATATTTTATTTCATGTACATAATATTATTTTGCAACTAATTGTTTTTATGTATTTTTTTCAAAGGGTGACAAAGCATTGGAAATTTACAAGACAAGAATAACACCAAAAAAATCAAGTTTTTAAGTTGCAACATGCTTGGGACGTCCTCAAGGATTGTCCGAGGTGGGGAACCGATGTGGACCAACAATGGGGAAGATTATTTCAACGTAAAGCCGCACCGAAAAATGCCAGAGATGAAGGTGTCAATGAAGATGTCGATGAAATGACCCAAACTCCTTCTTTTGCAAGGCCCTCGGGAAGAGATAAGCAAAAAGAAGCAAAGAGACAAGGGAAGTCTCAAGATCTTTCAAGTGGACACATTGCTACCAAAATTGCAAAATTGAGCAAAACTCATAGCGTTCGCTAAGAAGAAACAGCCCGAATGCATTTGCAAATGAAGGAATAAGGGGATAGGGAGCAAGAGAGGTACGAAATAAATTTGATGATGGATGACCTTAAAAAATACACTCCAAAGAGAAAGAAGTACTTACGTGGTAAGCAAAGAAAAATTTTGCAAAGGGATGTCAGAATGAGTATATTTCAAGACGATAATTCATCTCAAGGTTATATTCCAAGTCCACCATCACCAAATCAAGATGGTGGATATCATTATTAAGTTTGGAGGAGGATTCTCTACCCTTCTAATCTCTCTACCCTTCCATCCCCTCCTATTTGAACAGTCACGGTTAAGCCACGTCAACATCTTATATTGATTTTTTTATAGAGATAATAAGACAAAAAGCAATGTGTGAGAGAAGGGGATGAAAGGGGATGAGAATATGAGGGTAGAGAATCCTCCTCAATTAAGTTTATGTAGTTTATGAATTTTCAATTGTATTAAGTTTATGTGGTTTATTAATTGTCGTTTGTATTAAGTTTATGTACTTTATTAATTGTTGTGTGTATTAATTATTATTTCTATTAATTTAGATGCCTTCAATAATTATTGTACTCATTATTCCACACTTTAATGTAGAATAGATGCCTTCAATAATTCAACATCCATTCAATAATTTATCCAATGTACAACACGAAATACTTTGCACAAGAAGACACTTAAATTTATTATTAGAAAATATGAATATAGTACACTTAAAATTATTACATAAATACTCAACTAACATCATCAATGTTCACCTTCTTAGAGCCATACATGCTCAACCAAATCCTTGAGGAGTGTGTCATGATCTTGAGGAGCTTGAATTCTATTTAAACGTCTCATATAATCACTCAATGTGACCCTATCCTGTCGGGTCTCATATGTGGTTTCAACGAGATATTCAACATCACTTGCAATACCTCTTGTATGTGTTGGTTGGTCATCATCCACATTTTCGTCTGAATCTTCTTCAATTTCGATGTACTCGTCTTCCATAATCATGTTGTGCAAAATTATGCACATCATCATGATTGAATGAAGGTCTTCGGTATGCCAAAGTCATGTAGACCTTTTAAAAATGGCAAATTAAGCTTGTAGGATCCTTAACGCTCTTTCCACATCCTTTATGTAAGACTCTTGCCTCTGCGAAAATAATTTCTTCTTTGCACTATCGGGATGAGAAAAACTTTTAACAAAGGTAGACCAACTAGGATAAATACCATCAATTAAGTAGTAACCTAGCTCATACCTATTACCATTTACCTTGTACTGAAATTTTGGAGCCGATCTATTGATAACATCATCGAACAAAGGAGAAGACCAAAGAACATTGATATCATTGTTTGATCCAGGAACGCCGAAGAATGCAAGCTAAATTCATGTGTCGTAAGACGTCATAGCCTTGAGCACGATGGTTGACTTGTTATGACGGCCTTTGAATTGGCCAGCCCAAGCAGTAGGACAGTTTTTCCACTCATAATGCATACAATTGAGACTTTCTATCATGCCAGGGAAGCCTTTTTTGTCTGCTTTGCACAGAAGCCTCTTCAAGTCTTCATGATTTAGCTTGTAGAGGTATGTGGCTCTATATATGGCTAGAATTGCCTGACAAAAGCGCTTCAGGTTCTCAATAGCAGTAGTCTCCGCAAGTCGGCAATACTCGTTAGTTGAGTCTACAAAGCACTCATTAGCTAGCATCCGAAATGCAGATGTGAACTTCTAATGAGGTGATAAACTTTGTCAGCCTACGACATCTATCTTCCTTGCAAAGTAGTGGTTATGATTGACAATTGTGTTCAATATGCTTTCAAAAAGCACTATCCTTGTCCAAAACCGCCTCCCGAAAATCATGAGTAGGAAATCTTGGACGCTCGATGAAATAATCTTTCATCATTCGATCATGACACTCTTCTCTATCACACTACACAAATGAACGCCTCATGACAGAACCATGATGGCTAGATTCAGCATGGTGCTCATATTGCATGAGCGAGTTTGCAAGTTCAACTTTGACATTGATCATTTTAGCATCCTCAATGTCAAGCCTTGCTTGGTATTGTGCTATCTGCATTTCCCTACTACGCCTTCTTCTATCACCTATTGATGAGATATTGAGGATTTTTAGGAAACAAAAACACTTTGAAAGTTGAAAGATTGGTGAATATAGAGAATGATTGAAGGTTGAAAGTTTATGTGATCAACTGATATTGGACCTGTGTTTATATAGAGGATGAAAGTTGAACGATTGGTGAAAGTTGAAAGTTTGGTGAAAGTTGAACGGTTGGTGAAAGTTAAAAGTTTGGTGAAAGTCGAATTTATCACTTAAATTTATTACTAGAAAATATGAACATAGTACACTTAAAATTATTACATAAATACTCAACTAACATCATTAATGTTCACCTTCTCAGAGCCATACATGCTCAACCAAATCCTTACGGAGTGTGTCATGACCTTGAAGAGCTTGAATTCTATTTAAACGTCTCATATAATCACTCAATATGACCCTTTCCTATCGGGTCTCATATGTGGTTTCAGCGAGATATTCAACATCACTTGTAATACCTCTCGCATGTGTTGGTTGGTCATCATCCACATCTTCGTCTAAATCTTCTACAATTTCGATGTACTCGTCTTCCATAATCATGTTGTGCAAAATTATGCACATCATCATGATTGAATAGAGGTCTTCTGTATGCCAAAGTTATACAGGCTTTTTAACAATAGCCAATCGAGCTTGTAGGATCCCGAACATTTTTTCCACATCCTTTATGTAAGATTCTTGCCTCTGCAAAAATAATTTCTTCTTTACACTATCGGGATGAGAAAATTTTTGACAAAGGTAGACCAACTAGGATAAATACCATCAATTAGGCAGTAACTTAGCTCATACCTATTACCATTTACCTTGTACTGAAATTTTGGTGCTCATCCATTGGCAACATCATCGAATAAAGGAGAAGACCAAAGAACGTTGATATCGTTGTTTGTTCCAGGAGCGCCGAAGAATGCATGCTAAATCCATGTGTCGTAAGACGCCACAGCCTTGAGCACGGTGATTGACTTGTTATGACGGCCTTTGAATTGGCTAGCCCAAGCAGTATGACAATTCTTCCACTCCCAATGCATACAATCGAGACTTTCTATCATGCTAGGGAATCTTCTTTTGTCTGCCTTGCATAGAAGTCTTTTCAAGTGTTCACGATTTAGCTTACGGAGGTATGTGGCTCTATATATGGCTTGAATTGCCTGACAAAAACGCTTCAGGTTCTCTATAGCAGTAGTCTCCGCAAGCCGGCAATAGTTGTTAGTTGAGTCTGCCGAGCACCCATTAGCTAACATCCAAAATGCAGATGTGAGCTTCTGACGAGGTGATATCCGAAATGCAGATGTGAGCTTCTGACGAGGTGATAAACTTTGTCGGCCTACGACATCTATCTTCCTTGCGAAGTAGTGGTCATGATTGACAACTGCGTTCAATATGCTTTCAAAAAGCACTATCCTCGTCCAAAACCGCCTCCAAAAATCATGAGCAGGAAATCTCGGACGCTCGATGAAATAATCTTTCATCATTCGGTCATGACACTTTTCTCTATCATGCTACACAAATGAACGCCCCGTGACAGAACCATGATGGCTAGATTCAGCATGGTGCTCATATTGCATAAGCGAGTTTGCAAGTTCAACTTCGACATTGATCATTTCAACATCCTCAATGTCAAGACTTGCTTGGTATTGTACCATCTACATTGCCCTATTACGCCTTCTTCTATCACACATTGATGAAACATTGAGGATTTTTAGAAAACAAAAACACTTTAAAAGTTGAAAGATTGGTGAATATAGAGGATGATTGAAGGTTGAAAGATTATGTGATCAACTGATATTGGACCTGTGTTTATATAGAGGATGAAAGTTGAACGATTGGTGAAAGTTGAAAGTTTGGTGAAAGTTGAACGGTTGGTGAAACTTAAAAGTTTGGTGAAAGTTGAAAGATTGGTGAAAGTTGAAGGCTTGCTTTGTGGAAAGATTTAGTGATTTTTCAATATTTAAATATTTTTAGATTAAAATGTTCATAAAATTAATTTACGAAGTCTACATAATTTTTTTTTTAAAGTTAATTTAAGAAAAAAAATTAGTCAAAGTTCATTCTTTAAAAATCTCAGGCTAAAATTTTAGAACATAAGAGTTGGAGCAGAAAAACTGTTCTTGGGCTAAAAAAATTTGGTTTTTAGCCCAATAATCGGAGATGGTCTAAAAGTATTTTAACAAATTTAGAAGCAGTCCAAACAGGTCCTTGATGAGATTAAAACGTTTCCTTTACCGCCAAAATTTGGTTTCCCGCGCAAGCATCTACCGTATCGTCGTTTTTCAACCAAAACGACTGCGTATTCGGTTTACTGTTCCTTAATTCCACATTTGCATCTCCCTTCTTCTCTGCAACCAAAGTCCGTCTCTTTCTCCTCCTGCAAATGCGATGGCATCTGATCGGAGCTCCGGCGACCCAATCGCCGACTGCGGCAAAACGCAGCGCATCGTCCTCTTCATAGACCTCAACCCACTCCTCCACCTTCAAAACCCAGCTCCATTTCTCAAAGCCCTCCTCGCCCGTCTGTGTGTCTGCAAACTGTTTGACAGAATTCCTGAATGTGGGTGTGGGTGACGAGTCTTTGGAAAATGTGAATGCGTTTTCTGAGAGATTTCGGGGTTTCTATGAGAATGTGAACGATGCATTTCTGAGTAGAGATATTCAGTGTAGCTGGGTTGATGTCAGGTATGAATTAGAATGTGGTGAGGGTAAGGTTGGGAACGATGAGGATAAGACGAGATTTGGGCTTTTCAAGAGTGGGGTTAGGAGTTTGGGATGGGGATTTGGCTCGACTGGTTCGATTATTCTTGGTTCTGCTCTTGTTCCTTTTGGTTTGATTTATCCAGAGATTGGGATTTCATCCAAGTTTTTCGGTTGTGATGATAGTCATAAGAAAGTCAATGCGCATTTGAGTCTCGAGATCTTAGATGTAAGTGGGAAGCCTTTGGAATGCAAGTTTTGTGATCTTCAATTGGTTGATTTGAAGATGTTGCCTAGAAATCCTAAATTCACAAACAAAAGGTGGTAAACTGAGAGAATTGTTCTGGTGGAATTTTGGCAAAGGCGTGACAAAGTTCCAGGTTAAGGCTTTGCAAAAGTACAATAGTTCATCCATATATTGGTTAAATAAAAAGCGGGAAACAGACGCCCCTTCAGAGAGTCAAACTTCCCTTGTAAAATCTGGTGCTACTGGTGATTTGGTTGCTGCTGAGAGATCCCAAGGATATCAATGCAAGGCAGAAAAGCTCTGCCCTGTCTGTTAAAGCATCTGATTCAGAATCCGGATGGAGATACTTTTCCTTCACCTAGTACTAGATATGAATTGCAGATTTTTTTCTGGATGGAGATACTACAATCAGAGGTTGGTGCAAGTATTGCTGAATCTACGAAACAGAAATTTGTAAAACAGATTTGCTCGTTTTTGGAGAAAATTCGATATCATCTGGACGGCTTCTTTGGTGACCGCAGTGTAGATGATTATGTTGAAAAGATCATAAAAAGCAGGTAATAAATCTGTACCACAGTTGAAAACCCCTACCTTTGAAATTATTCTTTACTTTATATAATGGATGTTTAACTGAGGCATTATGGCTTTCGCTGAAAGGCTATAGCACATGCTACATTCAGTCTATCATTCATGTCTCAACAAATACACATTTCCGGTGCCACTGTGTTCCACTTTCCTGTGGGATATTACTTCCTGTCTAACAAATCATGTCCTACTTACCTTTGCAACAGTGCTAAATAAGGAAGGTGGTTATCTTTATAATCTTAGATGAGTTAAGTGTCTTTCCTTATCAGTGTAGATTTACAGGATATAGGCCAGTTATGCGCACATCGTACCCATGTTTTTCTGAACGAGTGAGGAATATGTTTATGTAGCTTAAATAATTCATTCCTGCAATTAGTTTTCCGGAAGTACATGCGCAGGCGATCAATTTTTGTTTGAGATGGAAAATTAACTTAAGCAGATAGATTAATCTTTGAATTTGGAAATTTTCGAGTACTGTGAGACATTTGAAGATGTGGTTCACAAAATCTATACGATAATGGATTTGTTGCTGTTTGCTGATGAGGAAGAACTCCCTAATAGTTTACTCAACAGCGAGGATAGCAATCGATCCTGTAAAGAAAAACCAAAGAGTGTCGAAGTGGATGAAAGTATAGAATCTGGGACTCATTATCAGCAGAAGGTGAGTCTCTTCGTCCGCTGAAAACTGATATTGGAAGTCCAAGTGCCGAAGAGATCAAACAAAAGGACGACCATGCTGGCAAGTTACTTGAAGCTCAAGAGAAAAGAGAGAGGGCTCGGAGATTCGCTTCATCCACAAGATGGATGCCCGATCTGCAGAGAGTGTGGGCCCCAAAACAGCTGAAACCATTGAAACCAAAGTCAAATCCGCTTCGAAAGCTGTTTAGAAGGAAGGATCATAGAGGTTCATGTGATGATAGAGTATGTGAAACCCCAATGACAGGAATCAAACGTTCATGCTCGCAATGCAGCTGGGATGACGATGAAGATTACCGAGAATACAGTAGCCAGCCGTGCGGCTCTGTTTCGAAAGCATTGTTCCAGGATGATGACCAGTGAACTTAAACTTCATCGAGACATGGAAAAAGCATATACATACCAAAAACAGCAGAAAAAAACCATTTAAAGTGCCAGCTTCTGTTGTTTAACTCTAATTGTCATTAATTTTCTGTAAATCAGTTCCATTTTTTTCTTTTGTGATTTGCAACATGAAATTGTTGGTATCACTGAGCTACTATTCCATTTGTTCAGTTCTATACATTTCCGAATTCGAACAAAAAAATTATTAATAAAAATGTGTGATTTTTTATTTTCTGGAACCGTCACATCCCTCTTGAATTTTTCATACTAGAGAAACTTCAACTAGGTAATCCCATCTCGTTTTTCGTAGGGCACATGCTATTCATTTGTAGACCACATCTCACCAAAACACGAGCCTTTATGTATTCTAGTCTCATCTAACTTTGCATTAGTCTCTTTAATATGATAGTCGCCCTTAAGTGGCAGTCCTACTGAAGTTTTTCTGAAAGATTTGACATTCTATTTGCATGCACTGGATATTAAACATGTGGGTCTAAACCAATGTTTAAAATCTCGATATAGTTGAAAAGTCTTCAATGGAAATTTACAAAGGGGTAAGTATATCAAGTATCAACTCATTCAGATTTAGTCGAAATTAAAGAAAAAATTTATAAAAAAAATTCTAAAGTTTGAAATCTGCAATAGGTTTCAACAAAATTTTGTAGTTAATTGGTAAATATTATCGATATTTATTGTTTTCTTATATCTCGCCGATATAGGGTGAAGTTTGCATTTCACCCTTCTTTCCCTTATGGACCCTTAATTTTAAGGATATTTCAACGAGAATATCGACAATGCCGTGGATATTTTAAACATTGGTGACTGGTCTAAACTAAACTTACCCAAACCCATTTTCACATCACCACAATCCAATTCATGAGTGCTGTTACTTGCTAAATGTTGCCCCATACACGAGTCATTAACTCGTTTAGAAAGTGTTTTTAAATGACTGAAATCACTTGAAAAAATATTTTTGAACTCCAAAAGCACTTGAAGTATTTCATCAAAGAAGCACTAGTTTAAATGCTTTTGGAGGATTAACTTGCATTTTTATTCACGATTAGCTGTATAAACATTTTTTTTTCTTTCTAAAATCGCTTTTAGTAATTTGAAAGTACTCCCTAAACGTGTTCTAAATTTTATCTGAAAATTTTTTCGGGCTGCGAAATTAAAGCATCGTGATTAGATCGAAGTCCTTGGCCAATGGCCACCTCAGCTAAAATCCAAGATGTATATAGCAGTAATCAATTTTGGTTACAAGCATATTCCGTTTGGTTTCTATCCGCAAACTTCCAAAACGTTCAATTGATGTTAAAACACTTTGTATATCGGGTTGTGTTTTCAACACACTAAATTTTTTTGACGATGACAATGCTGTGTTGATTCCCCACATATTGTTTTATGATTATCTCATCTACGGACTATGCATACAGCTATGACCTTTCATCAGACTTTTTGTCAAATTTGATGGCTTTTTTCACGTAATTAAGCAGTTAAGGTCACTCTTCATAACTATCTTCTAGTTTCAGGATCTCTCAATTAGCATGTTATAATTCTCTCTAGAAGTAATTTTTCTTTAAATATTATTTTGGAAGTGCCTTTAAAACAAGTAAAGAAGTTTTAATGGATTTTTAGGTTGAAAAAACATTTAAAGTGTTTTTAAAAAAAAACACACGCGAAACACCTCAAGTGTTTTTTCCAAAAGCACTTGCATTCTTATGAAAAGTATAAGAAGCGCTTACGTGTGTAAGTGGTTTTTGAAGAAAGCATTTCCAACCCGACCTAACTTAATCGACGTTTTATGTGAAACGTGGACTAAACAGGCCCTAGCTAACTTGATTGACGAGGTTCCAAGAAGAAGACTGGCAC